AATACCTTTATTCATTTATTTTTTATGTGGTGCTGAGGATTGAATCCAGGGTCTCACACATGCAAGGCAAGTGATCTACCACTGAGCCACAACCCTAGCCTCTCTACAGGCTATTTTGAGACAGTCTCACTAAATTGCTGAAGCTAGCCTCAAACTTGTGATCCTCCTGCCTCACTCTCTTGAGTCACTGGGATTATAGGTGTCAGCTATGGTGCCCAGCCAATTTGCATTATGATAAAGACCAGTAAAGAAAATACCTGGGTTTTGTTCTGGGTTCTTAGCTCAGAGCTTCAAACCCCCTTGGAATTACCAGGTAAGAGTGACATTCATTACTTACAAATCCCTTTTGATTATATTTGAGTTTATAAAAATTATGTGATTCATGATAGGTCCACAAATAATTTCAAGGGAGAAATTTGCCAAGAAAGACAAGTCTGTGATTAGATGGTTGGAACTTTCAGCCCTAGCCCAACACCTGACCACTAAGAATGATTGGAAATTGAATTTAATCATGTAGCCAGGGAGTTAATCTGTCATAGCTATGTAATGAAACTCCAATAAAAAACTCATGATGAGGCTTGGGAGAATTTCCTAGTTGGTGACCAGGAGGGTGGCATACTCTAATTCCATGAAGATAGAAATCTCCTGTGCCTAGAACCGCCCCCGCCCAGACCTTGGTAGTTATTCTTACTCACCCCCCAGATCTTGCCCTATATATCATTTAGCTGTTCTTCTGTATCTTTATATAAAACAGTAATCATAAGAACAGTGCTGTCACAGGCTGGGGTACAGTATTTGCCTCATATGTGTGAGGTACTAGGTTTGATTTTTCAACACTACATATAAATAAATGAATAAAATAAAGGTCCATCAACAACTAAAACAAAGAAGAGTGCTGTCATGAGTTCTGTGAGTTGGTCTAACAAATTATAGAGGGATTCTGAGGTGCTAATTATATTCTATTCTTGTCTCTAGGGGTGGTTAATACTTGATTTTTTTTTTAAAGTAAGAAAGGTGGGGCTGGGGTGGTGGCTCAGTGGTAGAGCATTTGCCTAGCATTTATGAGGCACTGGGTTTGATTCTCAGCAATGCATATAAATAAATAAAATAAAGGTCCATGACAACTAAAAAAATATTTTTTTTAAAAAAGAAAGGTTCTCTCTACTTTTTTAAATGAAAGAATGAACAATTAAACTCAGGACAAGCTGTTCAAAGAAGTTAATTAGAAAATAGATAAAATGAAAACCAGTACAAGAAAGAAAAATAAAAAACCACACATTTACACATGTATTTTCCAAAAGATTCTTCTATTATAGAATTTGAAATACAGCATATCTTAAGAAGAAAAAAATTTAAATATAAAAAGATAACTGTTTTGGAAATAAAGAAAGGTATTTACTCTCATGGATAGGGGAGAAAGTATAAGAGAAAAAAAGCATGAGAGCTCACATAGCAGAGGGGAGGTTTTGCCCTCTGAGGGGAGCTTCCTGATAAAATCTCTAGAGGGAATGTCTCTTTGTGGCCCTGTTCCTGTCTTATCATCTCACCTCTGGTCAGCTTTCTGTCAATCATCCAGGACTCTTTTCCTTGTTCCAATAAGGAGATCACAGCTGGCTTAGAATTGGAAAGTGCTGCTCACAAGAAAAGATATGGGACATGGTTATCCTGTGGATGTCCCAGGAATCAGATCCAGTCCCTTGGTGGTCAAGGAAGAGATGTCACTACAGGAAGGACCAGAGGAAGATGGAGAAGATGAAGCTTCAGCCACAGCCCATTGGAGCTTCCCATTTTCAATTCTTCCATTCCATTCCAACTCAAACCATTCCTTGGGGAACAGAGAACATAAATTCAGCAGGTTGCCTGAAGTGAAATATTCATTTGCCCAAGGATTATGAATTTGGGGGTGGGGTAGTTATTCTCACCCACTGAAACCAGGTTTCTGAAATTCTCCAACATCATT